GTGGCTGGTGGGTTTGAACCACCAGCCTTCTCGTGAGCAGTCAAGTGCCTTAGCCACTATGCTACCAGAGCTCCCTTTGTGTCCCTAGTGAGATTTATTCCCAAGTATTTTATTTATTTTTGGTAGCTATAGTAAATGATATTCATTTCCTTATTTCCTTTTCAGCAATCTTTGCTGATGTAGAAGAATCCATCTGATTTTTTGTATGTTGATCTTATATCCCACTACTATGCTAAATCTCTCAATTAGTTCTAGTAGTTTTTTGCCAAGTCTCTTCAGTTTTCTATGTATAGGATCATATCATCAGCAAATAGGAATAGTTTTACTGCTTCCTTACCAATTTGGATGCCTTTGATTTCCCTTTCTTGCCTTAGGCTGGTTTGGTTTTGTGTCTCTGTTACTTAATAGTGAGTGTACGCAAGCATATCTAGGAGACTGTGGGTTCAGTTCCAGACCACTGCAATAAAGCCAATATCGCAATAAGGCAAGTCATACGATTTTTTTCTTTCCCAATGCATATAAAAATTACTCTTACACTATATTGTAGTTTATTAAGTGTGGAGTAGCATTATGAAAAAGTCTGAAATAGTGTGAGAATTACCAAAATGTGACAGACACAAGAAGTGAGCCCATATTGTTGGAAAAGTGGCGCCCATATACTTGCTCCATGCAGGGAAGCCACAAATCTTAAATTTGTGAAAAACGCAGGATCTGCAACCCACAATTAAACGAGATTATGTCTGCATATACAACTGCTATATTTTACCAGGAGCATAATCCAGACTACAGACTCGGACACCTCAGTTGCCCGATTTTGCGCCGCTGAGTTAACGCTCTTGCATAATTTGGGTTAACTGATTAGTCCGTGCCTGAACAGTGGCCTAGTGCCTAAGATATTTGACTACTAACCAGAAGGCTGGCGGTTCAAACCCACCAACCACTCCTCGGAAGGAAGATTAAGCAATCTACTTCCGTAGAGATTTGTTGTTGTTGTTGTTATGTGCCCTCGGAAATCAAGGAGGGGTCACTTTGTGTCGGATCCGACTCCACAACAGTGAGTTTGGTTTTTTGAGTAACCTGGCTTCGCAGTCACGTGGTAAACAAAACGAAACCAGCCCTCTCCCACCCATATTCTCGCAACTTTTCTCCAACTTCCGTACAACTTAGTTTTCGACTCTAACCCCTCCCTTTGGTCCCGCGGAGCCCAATCCCCGCCTGACAAATAAGTACTCCCGCCCGATTTGCCTGCCTCCCTCTCTGACAGTCTATTCTGACCAGTTAGGGCAGAGCCTGTCTTGGGAAGGTAATTCCATTGGCTCTATGCCCTGCCCCTCAAAACCTATAGGCGGCTAGGCAGGAAGCCTCCTGGGTAAATCTTAGACAAGTCTTTTGACTCTCTTTTGTTTTCTGCTCTGCTGCGGTCTCTCTGTTGTAAAAGCGATGCCCAGAGAACAGGCACTCAGGCGTCCTTTGCTTCAGCCACAGCCATTTCTCCCTTCTCTGAGGAGCCCTCAAAAAGATTTACTATCGCTAGGAGAAACCAGAAGGCTGGTGGTTCAAACCCACCAGCCACTCCTCGGAAGGAAGGTTGGGCAATCCTACTTCCGTAGTGATACTGACTCGGAAACCCAAGGAGGGGTCGCTATGAGTCGGGGCCGACTCGACGGCACATAACAACAACAACAGGAGAAACTGAGGCAGAAAGGGCGTGGCTACCTATGTATTCCTTAGATCCGGTTTGTGCACCTTCAGCCTCTTAATCCCCTACTCCCAGATACAGCGCCTCTATCGTAACTACTGGCTAGGTGCAACCCACTTTCCCGGTGTAAGGCTGGGGGCGGGGTTTGGCAGGGCAGGTCCAGGATACGAGATCCTGGTGGAAAGAAAAGGTGTACTGTTTGAGGCTGTCAGCGGGCTAGGCTGGCTTGGCAGGGCTGGGCTCTCTTCCGAACAGGTAATACCCAAGGGGGCCCATTCGTCTGAACCGGAGAGATAAGGCCGGAAACGAGATCTCCGGGTGACAGGTGAGGGACTGGGCAGGTGAGGAAGGGGGATAACGGAGGAGGGAATGTGAGGAACCTAGAAGCTGGAGTGGGGGCCATTATCCTTCTTCAGTTCTCCCTCCCCTCCCCAACACATACACTCCTCCCTGCAGAAGGATGAACCTCGGAAACTCTGACTTGCTGGACCTGTGGCTGGAGCCCCCAGAAGATGTCTTCTCAACAGGATCCTTCCTGGAACTGGGACCCCACTGTCCCCCTCCAGAAGTCACAGTGACTAGATTACAAGAACAGGGGCTGCAAGGCTGGGAGTCCAGTGGGGGCCATGATTATGTGAGTGTGATGGATAGGGCTGTGGGTGGGGTTGAGACACAATTCTGTGATTGAAAGCCCCAAGAGGCGTTGGCATTCACTTGGACAGAGGTGGGAAGAGCCCCCAAAATAGCGAGTTGTAACTATTCCCATGTTCAAGGACAGAAGAGATGGAAACTGAAGCATGAGGGATCTAGGTTTGGTGTCCGGTTTCCTGTTGCCATCCAGTCGATTCCCACTGAGAGTGACCCTATAAAATTGAACTATCTCATAGAGTTTCCAAGGCTGTAAATCTTTATGGAGGCAGACCGCCACGACTTTTCCCAGGGAACAGCTGGTGGGTTTGAACCTCAACGTTTCAGTTAGTAACTGAGTTCTTAACCATTGTGCCACCAGGTAGGACCTGGTAGGACTTCGAAAATTCTTCCCTATACACACATATTCTCTCCTATTGTAGGGTCTTCAAGAGAGTGAGCCTGAAGACTTCCTGAAGCTTTTCATTGATCCCAATGAGGTGTACTGCTCAGAAGCATCTCTTGGCAGTGACAGTGGCATCTCTGAGGACCCTGGCCATCCAGACAGTCCCCCCGCCCCTAAGGCCTCCAGTTCACCTGCCCTCTATGAAGTTGTCTATGAGCCAGGGGCCCTGGAGACCATGCAGGGGGAAGCTGGGCCGGCTGTTGGGCTCATTTCCATCCAGCTAAGTGAGTGCTCACTGTGGGAAGGGGATGACATATTTCAGGTCCCGTTTTGGCCCTGAGATTAAGGGGGTTTCCCCAACCTGTGCCACTACCCAGGCCCTGCTGCCATTAGGGTGTATCCTCCAACTCTTTCCCCCTAGCCACCTGTGTCTCTCTCAGATCAGTGGAGCTCCCCATTTATGATGCCTGATGCTTGCATGGTCAGTGAGCTGCCTCTTGATGCTCATGCCCACATCCTGCCCAGAGCAGCCACCATAGCCCCGGTGCCTCCTGCAACGCTGGTGAGTCTTGGGATCAGCTGTATCTAGTGCCCCCTGATATACACATATATACCAACACGGATGAGGGAGAGGGGATGATAGAGGGGAAAACTGATGGTGAACTCAGATTTGCCCCAATTTCTGTGGTATAAAACCTGAAGACTAGGGAGACATTGGCAACGTTAGAAGCAGGAAAGGACAAGGGAAACAGAAGCCTTTGGGAGTAAGGTGATGATGACTCAATTAAGAAGGTGGGATGAGGGAATCTGGGGACAGGGCTCAGAAGAAAGCCCAGACCTTGTGTACACTGTGTGCTTAGCCAGAGCCATGGTGTCAACTTATCAGGACATAGAAATGGGACAGGTCCTCTGGGAATCCAGCTGGTTGCTGGTCACAGAGTGAAGGAGGAGAAGCAACTGCAACAATGAAACAGTTGCTCCAGCAGGCACCCACTGGCTAGGGCTACAAGGTAACCAAGTGACCAGGGTACAACTAACCACCTTAGATACTTTCCCAAGGCTGTTCTTGTAGTGAGGGTGGAGAGGGGGCTGTGCTTTCCCTTCACCCTGGAAAGTAGTCCTTGTGCCCAAAAGGCAGGAAACAAGTTCTGCCCTTCCTGAAAATCTGTAGTGAAGCTGGGACAAGAAGCCAAGCATCTTAGAATCCTAGAATGTTAGGTTGAGGGACTTTAAAAAGTCAGATGCTTTTAAGCTTGAGTGTGCATCAGAAACACTGGGAGAGTTTGTTGTTTTTTTAAACGAAACCCTCTAGGCTTCATTCTGAAATTTTAATTACATGGTTTGGGAAGAACATCCCTATAATATTTTCACCAAACAGATGGAGGAGAAAGAAGGGAGCAGGAAAAGATAGAGATAGAAGAAAATGTTTAGCTAAGAGCCAAAGACCATCAGGAGGCAAAAGCCAAAGCAGTTTTTTCTCAAGTCACAAAGTAAAGCATAAATCTTACAAAAAATATGTATTAGTTAGAAAGGCAAGTGACTCAGTTGGTGGGCTCAAGTTAATCCCAGAAGCTATCTAAAACCAAAAACCAAACTCAATGCTGTCGAGTTGGATCTGACTCATAGTGACCCCTCCTTGGTTATCCAAGGCTGTATCACTACAAAAGTAGATTGCCCAGTCTTCCTTCCGAGGAGTGGCTGGTAGGTTTGAACCACCAGCCTTCTGATTAGCAGTCAAATGCCTTAGGCACTATGCCACCCGAGCTCCTAGAAGCCATCTGTTGTTGTGTGCCTTCGAGTCGGACCCAACTCACAGCGAGCCCTCCTTGGGTTTCCGAGGCAGTATCACTACAGAAGTAGATTGGCCCATCTTCTTTCCGAGGAGTGGCTGGTGGGTTTGAAACGCCAGCCTTCTGGTTAGCAGTCAAGTGTCTTAGCCACTAGGCTACCAGAGCTTCTAGAAGCCATCTGTTCTCCCCTGAATAGTTTGCTGTGAGCTGTTCAGTCAGGCTGCCCTAGAGGAGTTCCTTGTCTGAAATGGGGGCAGAGCCTCAGTCTTCAAACTAAGGCCCAAACCCTAGGGCAGAATGGGCCAGTGCCTAGGCGAGCTCCCTGTGGTTAGTGGGGGATCAGACAACACACTTGCCAAATGGAAGTTAGTGGCTGAAAAGGTATCATTTACCTGTTGTAAGATTAAGCAAATTCTACCTCAGTGAGTTTTTTCAGGTCCTTTTCAGAAGCCCCTAAGATTTTGGTAGACTCAGACCAGAGCAGGCCCCCCTGGCTTACTCACCATGCCAAGGTCCTGAGTCTGTGAACAAAGGATATGACAAAACCACCACCTTCTTTCCCGTGTCAGCCTCAGGGCTATTTGGCTTGAGGTGGTGAAGATTCAGAGGCTGGCATGACATTGGAGTCTGAATTAAAAGTCTGTTGCTCACCTCACCTCACCAGAAAAACCAAACCTACTATTCATAGTGACCCCCTTTAGGTTTCCAAGGCAGTAAATTTTTTCAGAAGTAGATTGCCTCATCTTCCTTCCATGGAACGTTTGGTGGGTCTGAAGCACCAACCTTCTGCTTAGCAGTCAAATGCCTTAGGTGCTGCGCGGTAGTTATTCTCCAGTGCAAACGGAAATACGCTTCAGAAGGCAGGCTCCCCTTGGAGCAGCTTGGGTGCTGAATATGAGATGACCCTCTTCCCATTTTCATCTCTCTTGTCTCCCACCAGCTCCCATGTCAAACCTTGTTCCTGACAGATGAGGAGAAGCATCTGCTGGGGCAAGAAGGAGTCTCCCTGCCCTCTCACCTGCCCCTCACCAAGGTAACATGTTTCCTTCCCAAAAAAGATATCCCAAGCCAAAGCCCTGCCTGGCTTCTTAGGGGCCAGGATTCCAGAGAAGTGTGAGGGAATTTGGGGAGTTAAAGGACCCAGGACTGTAACACTGTGGGCCTTCAGGCAGAGGAGAGAGTCCTCAAGAAGGTCAGAAGGAAAATCCGTAACAAGCAGTCGGCTCAGGACAGTCGACGGAGGAAGAAAGAGTACATTGATGGGCTAGAGAGCAGGTATGCTTGAGCTCATATTTCTGGCTTCCTGGGGGCCAAAGGTGTACCCCTTTCCCCACCCAGACAGACAAGGTCAGGGTCACATGTGATTGCTGGGTTTTGTCCCATCTTTCTACACCCCATAGGGTGGCTACCTGTTCTGCACAGAACCAGGAACTACAGAAAAAAGTGCAGGAGCTGGAGAGACACAACATGTGAGTAAAAGCCTAGTGTGCATGAGTGATGAGTATGGGTGCTAGGGTGAGGAGCACAGCACACTGGGGTCCCATTCTTTGGTGTTGGTTCCTGAGACATACTGACTCTTCATTCCTTCTTTCCCAGCTCCCTAATGGCTCAGCTCCGCCAGCTGCAGACGCTCATTACTCAAACCTCCAACAAAGCTGCCCAGACCAGTACTTGTGTTCTGGTACCATAAGTCTATCTACTTCCCATCTCCCCAACACTCCCATCCTGATACTCACAAACCCCAGCCACACCTGTCTTCCCATCCCTGATGAGTCCCAACTCCCTCCATTCACTCTGCCCTCTGCTCCCTTTCTTTACTGTCTCCACAGCCCAAATGTCTTGCTTCTTTCCAGATCATTCTTTTTTCCCTGGCTCTCATCATCCTGCCAAGCTTCAGCCCTTTTCAGAGGCTCCCAGAAGCTGGGCCTGAAGATTATCAGCCTCATGGAGGTACAAACAAGGGCAGGGAGGACTCCTGGTGAGCAAGTGGGGCTTTGTTCACCACAGAACAGAAGCAGCAGAAAGGAGGTCTTGGGACCCAGTGGAGCATTCTACTACTGCCTTTTTTTCCTTTACCCACAGTGATTTCCAGAACTATCCTGACCCACAAGGACATGCCAGAAAATCTGGAGACTCTGTTGGTAGACACCAGACTGGACAAGCCACCTGGGGCAAAGGGTGCAAACAGCTCAACAAGTACACAGCTTGAGAAGATGGGAGGACAGACAGGCTCCAGCAGGCTCCTCAGAACTGTGCTGTATGCAGATGAGATATGAGCTGGAGCAGGGACCATCCTCCTTCTTGGCCCACTTCCCAATCACAATAAGGATTCCAGGGCTCCTCTATGGTTCTGTGGCCTCCTGGGATTCCCACTCAGGGGTCTTTGCCCTCAGGGGTCTGAATCACTTCAGGACTGCTTATGTGAGGAGGGTACCTCAAAGACTATTGTTATGTATCTGACTTTATTTCTTCTTGGGGGAGAGGGTTGAGGGAAAACAGAAGTTTTGGCTGATAAATAAACTGAATAAGCTGAAACTGTATCCAGGAAGTTTTAAATAGTATTAGAGAGGGAGTAGGAGCTTTGGTAGCGAGTAGGAGCTTTGGTAGCGTAGTGCCTAAGGCACTTGACTGCTAACCAGAAGGCTGGTGGTTCAAACCCACCAGCCACTCCTTGGAAGGAAGGTTGGTCAATATACTTCCATAGTGATACCGCCTTGGAAACCCAAGGAGGGGGCGCTATGAGTCAGAGCTGACTCAACAGCAATAACAACAGAGAGAGGGAGTATAGGTACTTGGTAAACTAGGGCCTAAAGCTGCCACCCCTTTCCCTCTTACCTCCCATAACTTCCTGCCTCAAACCAAATGGCAGCAGGGAAGGCAATAAACTATTTTACTCTTTTTATTCTGTTCTTTAATTATCTGGAAGAAAAAGATGGGGAAAGAAAAGGTTCCGAAGAACCAGGGGCACAAGTCAGTCCATTCTACCCTGAGGTGGAGTCTCTGAGACCTCAGATAAAAGGGTGGAATATGGCTATATGGATTCGATTTGCTTCCGGACCTTTTCCAAAGCCTTCCTGTCCAATAGTCGTTGACGAACGATGACAAGGCAAGCGAAGACCAAGGCCACACCCATGACAGTCCCTTCAAATTTCCAGAATAAATGTTGTTCCATCACCGCTGAACGGCAGCTGAGGGCAGGAAGGAACAGTTATTTCTAGAAAAGGCCATCCAGCTCCCCCCACCCCCCAGCAATATCCCTTCCCCTTTAGTCTAATCAAGATATACCCAAGAGGAAAAGAGACCAGAGTACATAAATCCCTCTCAAAAATATAATTTCATTTATTCAATGGTGAGGCAAGCAGAGATAGCATTAACTGATTTTACTGATGAGAAACGATGACCAATATCACAGTGCTAAGAAGTAGGGCTGGAACATGTGTTCAAGTAATTGGACTCCAAATTTCTCCTTTTCCCAATATGCTATGCTACCTCAAGACTAGAAGAGGTGGGACCATCTTCCTAAAGTTAGAGGAGCAGAGGTGATCTCAAGAGGTTCTGAGGGAAGAGAAGCAACACTTGCCTTTTGAATTCATTCCTTTTAGATGAGCTGCATGTGATTTTCTCCACATAGCCTGTGGAGCTGCACTCAGGGATGGTTTTCTGCAAGGGGAAAAGGACATGTTAGGAAAGGGCAGCAAGGAGAAGCAGAAAGGCTGCCATTCAGAAGGGGAAGATACCCAGGTGCGGTGGCTCAGAACTGATAGGCAACAGAGTATTAGGAAGAGTTCTGATGGGGATGGTGGAAGTGGTGGGTACATGATTAGGAATGTGTTTTACTTCAGGGGCAATACTCTAGAAAAGGAAGGAACAAATTATAGAGCCTGCAGGATTAAAAATGAACAGAACATGGTTATCAGCTGAATAATGTCATTCCCCACCGCCTTCCAATCGGCTTCATAGTAATCCCCATTGAGTTTCCAAGGTGGTACATCTTTACAGAAGTAGATCACCCTAATCATCCTTCCGTGCAGCAGCTGGTGGGTTTGAACCACCAACTTCTGGTTAGCAGTCAAGTGGCCTTCCGTGCTGTGCCAACAGAGCTCCAAATAATGTCATTAGTTTGGAAAGAAAGGGGCACATTTTCAGGAGGAAGACAAGTTCAGATTTGGACATATCTTGAGACTGCAAGGAGAAAGGATAAAGGACAATTCAAAGGCATACTTAATAAGCCTTGGGGGTTGGCTAGATGTGAGAAATAGGGGAGACAAAACAGATACTCACAGCCTGGAAATTAGAACATGGGGCACACTCTTCTGCTATCACAAACTCTTCTACCTGCCAGCACCGCAAGTTTGAGATGCTCACTAAAAGGAGAAAGAAATACCAGCCCTGGGCCATTCAGAGAATACTCCTCTCAAAGGCACTACCCATTCATCCACCCAGCACAGCAAATGCCCTCATTTGCTGCGGTGCTGCCCTTTTTCACCTGTGCTTTTGGTAAATAAGCGGATGTAAAAGAAAGAAAGAAAAAAAAAAAAAAAAAAACCTATGGTGGGCGTCGGGTTCCCAGGCCATCACTAACCTGATTGCTTCTCCTCCAGAACTGGAGACTCTGCGTGGCTGCAGGATGTAAGGGAGAAGGGAAGGGAGGAGCGTAAGTCAGAAGCAGAAACTGAGAGCCCCTACCCCCGCGGCCCAAAGACACAGTCCTTCCCATCCCCGGGGCGGGGACGATCCGGCTCTTTTCCCCTCCCTCCTCTCAGCTCCTCCTTACCAGAACTTTAAGGCGAAAGCGCAGAGCAGCCACCAAAGACTGAGGCCCTGGGGGAGGCCACGCCTCCCCGCGCCCGCAGGCATGGGGTGCTTAGTGTCGCACCTGTCAGGGCAAAGGGACCCTCTAGACTGGCTTCGTACTTCCTTCACAACGCAGAGGTGACACTTAACTCTGCGGCCCTCCTGGAGGTTCCAGGTCTGGGCAAAGGCTCTACTGGGACGTTCCCAAGACCACAACAAGAAAAGTCAATATGCATTGGTTAGATAGGGACATGAGATACCCTCACCCCAACCCTCCGTTTCTTTGAGGAAAAGCCCGAGGGGGCATACGTGCCTAGGACCCCCTCACCTCCACTTCCGCCCTTGTCGCGGCCATCTTGTCCCGTGAGGAATTCTGGGGTGCTGGAATGACAGCGGGGTCCGGTTTTTCCGAGCGAAACTGATTGTTCGAGGCGGTGGCGCGCGAGTTATCGCTTGCTGGATCTTGTAGTCTTTAAGAGCTGGCGGGGGTTCGCCCGCTGCTCACTGGGAATTGGTTTTCACAGCGTTTGTGCAGCAAGAGGTGACTCATTGGTTCGATGCACAGTTGCATTATGGTACTGGTAGTTTTTGGCCGGGAGCTCTGGTGGCATAATGCCTAAGGCATTTGACTGCTAACCAGGCTTGACCAGGATTTGACTGCTAACCAAGGCAGATTGGGCAACCTACTTAAGTAGAGATGTCACCTCGGAAACCCAAGGAGGGATCGCTATGAGTTGGAAACGACTCAACGGCAGTGAGTTTGATTTTGGTGAGTCTTTGGCCAGAGCGGAGGAAATGGCGGTGATCGAGACTTGTCTGGGTTCTCGGTTCGCTGTTGCCTGGATTATCGCCTCAGTTAATCCATCCTGGGCTAGATGAGCAAGGAGAACAATACGTCTTTCTACTCGGACTTTGTTGTTGTTCTTGTTAGGTGCCGTCGAGTCGGTTTCAACTCATAGCGACAAGAGAACGAAATCCTGCCAGGTCCCGCGCTATCGTCACAGTCCTTGCACTGCTCTAGCCCTTCGTCGCAGCCACTGTCTCAGTCAATCTCCTTGAGGGTCTTCCCCTTTTTCGCTGACTCTCTACCAAGCTTGATATCCTTCCCTAGGGGCTGGTCCCTTCTGACAACATAATCAAAGTAGGTGACAGGAAGTCTGGCCATTCTCGCTTCTAAGGAGCTAGGGCTGTACTTCTTGCAAGACAGATTTGTTCTTTAATCTGGCAGTCCACGGTATTTTCAGTATTCTTCCCAACACCACAATTCAAATGCATCAATTCTTCGATCTTCCTTATTCATTCAGCTTTCACATGCATGAGGTGATTGAAAATACCAAGGTTTGGGTCAAGTGCGCCTTAGTTTTTCAAAGTGACATCTTTGCTTTTTAACACTTTTAACACTTTAAAGAGGTATTTTGCAGCAGATTTGCCCACTGCAGTTTCTTGACTGCACTTTCATGGGCGTTGATTGTGGATCCAAATAAAATGAAATCCCTTACAACTTCCATCTTTTCTCCATTTATTGCGATTTTGCTTACTGGTCTACTTGTGAAGATTATTGTGTTCTTTATATTTAGGTGTAATCCATACTGAAGGTTGTAGTCTTTGATCTTCATTAGTAAGTGCTTCAAGTCATCTTTACTTTCTGCAAGCAAGGTTGTGTCATCTACATATGGCAAATTGTTAGTGAGTCTTCCTCCAATCCTGAAGCCACGTTCTTCTTCATATAGTCCAACCTCTCGGATTATTTGCTCAGCATACAGATTGAAGTATGGTGAAAGGATACAACCCTGACACACTAGGACTTTGCTCCTTCCTTAAAAGTAGGAATCACATTAACCTTGAGCTTTTCAGACATCCTGTGTCCCTGAGCCAGATGATTCAGTGGAGAATCTGGATTTATGGTCCAGGGATGGAGAAAAACTGACCAAAATTTCTTTTCCCTGCAAGAGCAGGAGAAACTCTGGGAGCATAGTGATTAGAACATTTCGTTCAGCTGCTAACTAGAAAGGTTACAACATTTGAATCCATCAGTTTCTTCATGGGAGAGAGATGTGGCAGTCTGGTTCCCTAAGGATTTTACAGCCTTAGAAACACTTTTCTACTCTGTCTCTTATAGGGTTGCTAAGAGTTTGAATCAACTCAATGGCATCTGGTTTATTTTTGGTTTACAGGAGTAGGAATACCTGAGACACATTGGGAACATTAAACCTTCTGTCTCTGGGTTACTTCTCCACTCTACACAGATGAACGATGTCACTTTCCCTCATGCTAATTACTAAACCACTCTCCAGAGCTGGTCCTTTGAATAACTTCCCCAAAAGTTCTCTAATCTCCCTTGCTACTACATAATATGGAATAATCATTAGTACATTGAGAAGAGCATGCAATTTGAAGTCTCAAGAAGTATTGAATCTAGGTTCAGGTGCTTATTATGTGACCTTAGGGCAATATGTGGCTCTCAGTGTTCTGTGTGAAATACAGAAACGTTAATATGCATTTTCTAGGTTTTTTTTTTTTTTCCCCAAGGTTCAAAAGAAAGGTATAGGGAAATTATTTATTCCCGATAATGTTGGCTCATATTTCTTTCTTTTTTTTAATGTAATATTTAACTAATTTTGATCCTCTCAGTAACCCCGAAGAGGCAACGTTGTTGGTATTATCCCCATTTTATGAGTAAGCTCAGAGAGTGTAAGTGACTTGTCCAAGGTCACCCTCTAATGAATAGAACTGAGCCTTAAACCTAGCCTCTCAACTCCTGGGCTAGAGATTTATGCCTGCTTTTCATCTCCATAAAGTTACACCTTGATATCTACTTGGAACTGCAGTTAACGGACCCACACTTCATCTTGCTTTTCTGTCTGGTAATGTATTAGTCACTAACTTAATTTTGCCATAAATTTCTTCTTACTTTCACATATATGTGTGTTTCCAACCTACCAGACAACTGGACTGTGTGAGTTTAGTTTTCTTAGACATTCAGTAGATAGGTTAAAAAACAAACAAAAAACCCTGTTGCTATGGAGTCAATTCCGATTCATGGCAACATGTGTTAGAGTAGAATGCTCCAGTTTTCTCGGCTGTAGACTTTATGGAAGCAGTTGGCCAGAACTTTTCTTCTGTCCAGTGCTGGGTGGGTTTCAAACTGCCAACTTTTGGGTCAGCAGCTGATAGATAGCAAAGCCCTTGCAGGAGGTACTTAAAATAAACTTCATATAAACACCAGAATTAATAAAATAATCTGGATCCCATATTTCAAGATCAAAGGGTTTGTCCTTATACCTTTTTTTTTTTTTCTTCAGGTTTTAGTTTGAGACATTATTTTTCAAGTAGAGGTTTTTTTTTTTTTTTTTTT